AATTACTAATTTTTATTAATAAATTAACATGTATATATATTTATATATATATTTATATATATATCGAGTTAATGAGCTAATTAGCTTAGTAATTTATTTAAAATGCATGCATATATTAATAAAATAATAAATGTATGTTTTTAAGCATCTGTAGTTATGATTTAGTAATTAAAATTATTAATAATAATTATGATTTAATGATAGTGAAGTAAACTGCAAACTTTAAAAGACAAGTGCAACAAGGGGGTGTGATGGCTATTTTTCCTTTCCCATATAAATCTATGTATTGACAGCAATGACAAACTAAATAAAAAGAGTTGAAAATAAAGAAGGGTTAAGGAAAGAAAGGGCAAAAAGGGTACTATTACGTCAGGGACAACAGGATGGATTCTTTTGACTAAAAGGGCAGCAGGGTGCTGCGCCCTGTTTACCGTGCCTAGAATGAGCTCTGTGTATATATATAATGAATGAATGTCTTTGTGTTAAGTCTGCGTACCAACAGCAATGAAATTTGTCATATTTATAATTCAAACACCAAGAAAGTCAACTGTTATAGCATTCTATTATGAACTGTTCAAGCGGGATAAGCAAACAGCAAAATAGAATTTTTGTCTAGTTAAGCATTACCCATTGTTTTGAATTTAACTTTTGACAATTCAATTTTTCAAATATTTTTAATATGACGTTACGACATCAGTAGTGATATTTGTTAGCTTAGAGATCTATTTGTAAAAGAAAAAAGAAAGAAGCTTACTGCTAGTACATTGAATTATTTTTTTAATTGTTATGGTAGTATTTTATTTATTTTACAACCTGATAATTATTTCAATTTTTTTCTTGTTTTATGAAGTTATTCTTTTTTTAAAGAAAGAAAAACACTATATTACATTTAAAAATTAATTTCATGTTAAATTTTATCTCTGAAGTCTATAAATAACTGTTCTTTATGAGTATATGTGCTGTGGCAAGCATTGGATGAAGCTTTGGTGGCTGATATAAGGGTGGCAAATTTCATAATTAATTTCTCTTGTAAGACACAGGAAAAGTTACATTTATAAATCTTTGACTGACTAATAATAAAATCCAAAGAATATAAGATAGTGTGATTCTCCAAAAATGCTTTTTATTTAAAAGTATTCTTGTTCTGAAGGTTATATTTTTGTTCAAATTGTATTTTTATGCATCTGACATTTATTGCTTGAAAGCATTTTATGTTTCTCAACAGGTGAGCTACACCGATTCTCTTCTAACGGATTAGCATTTGAATCCCAGCCCTCCTTCTTCTACCAGTTCCTCTTGTAGGTCAACGTCTTCTTCTGTATCCATAACTCCAGCCAGATTCAGAAGTAAGTTATTTATTTGTCTATTTTTTTAAATTTAATTCTAAAGACTTTTTCTCATTCCAATTTAGAAAAAAATAGTTTTCATAGTATTTTTTTTATTGTAATTTAAATTTTAATTAGGATTTTTTTATTTTATTGTAACGATGCCCGGTGACTGAGTGGTAGTGCTTTGCGCTCCCACGTCACAGGTCCTGGGCTCGATCCTTCAGTGTGTTGATAAATGAGTACCAAACATGCTTGGGAACTAAACACTGGGGGTTCCGCGTTCGGCTGACCACCTGACCGGAACATCTACTCCTGCACCCCAGACCCAAGGTCAAGAAAACTGAGATGGGAACAGTTGGCCTTGGCCCTCTATGGGCTGTTGTGCCACTGAGTGAGCTTAAACAATTAATATCTTGAATTTTTGGTGGTCAGCCAACAATTATCTATTCAGACTTCAGCTAAATTATTTACACTAAATTAATTTATACATTTTATAAGATATTAATCATTAACTTTTGTAGAGATGAAAAGCAAACTCTTTCTTTTTGAAGTAGTAGCAAACTTTTTATGTTCTTCCTTATTTTATGACTCATTTTAGTTAATTTTTACATGAAAGATTTTAACTAAATTTCTTTATGTATAGTGCGCAAAATAAAAGGACAACCCTGAGTAGCCTTTGATTTAATATGATCGGATCTTCACCTTTTAGCACTCAATCTTAATGGTTCAAGAGGGTGACCTCAAATATGCGGATTAATTAGTGCAAACGATATTTTAAGTCACACACGTAAATGTATTTTCTCTGAATAAACATACTTTTTTTTTAGGATTTTGAATTTCAGAACCCTAGAATATAGGATCTAGCGGCATTCTGGAAAATATAGTCCCAATAGTCTGGTCAAGAGACACGTCCAAATTTTGAACCCCTTAATGTTATTTTTACCTTTTCTGTATTTCACCTTCAGTCTGAGAACCTTTTAAGCGAATTGAAAAGTTTTTGCTTATAATTATAAATTTTTTTTATGAAGATTCCATGCAAAATATAACTCTTAGTTTGCATATATTATTTTATTTATTTAATAGTGATAATCAACAAACTATTGGATTGTAAGATATATAAGTTTTTAGATCATTTTACAGAATGCAGTTGTAAATTTCTAAATGTAAATTTTAGCAAAATCATTCGAATAGTTTCTAAAAAATCAAATTTTGAGGTAGATTTATTTTTAAAATTTAATTTCTCTAGAAATAATTTGATCAATTTTGCTCAAATTGTTTAATTTTCCAGGCAAAAATACAATCTTTAAAATAATGTTAAAATTGTATACCATACAATTCATTTTTTTACTACTAAATAAAATAATAAGAAATAGTAAGTACTCACAAAAAAATTTGTTGCATGGAATTATTTTTGGCTAAACTAAGTTAATAATTATAAGTAAAATTCTTCAATTCGCTTAAACATTTTTCGAGATATGGCGAAATACGCTAAAAGTAAAATTAACATTAAAGGGTTCAAACTTTTGAGGCCATATTTCCCAGACTGCTGCTACTCCTATATTTTAAGTGTCAGAATTTTAAATCTTTCCAAAAGTTTATTTAGAGAAAGTTTGTTTTTATATCTGATTTCGTAACTTAAAATGTCATTGACACTAATTAATTAGCAATATTTGATGTCACCCACTCAAACCATTAAGTTTAGTTCAGGAACTGATTATTAAATCAAAAATTATTCAAGGTGGTCCATTTATTTTTTATGCACTGTATATATTCATCATTTTTGTAATTATTAAATAAAATGAAGTAGCCTAACAATCCCTGAAACTTTATTTTATAAAAATTAAATGGTAATAAGATACAAATCTTTCAGTCTATAGAACTAGGCAGCACTTGTTTTTGTAAGTTCTGGAAATCACTCTGAAGTTACCTCTGAATTACAGAATCTGGATACTGTTAAAACTATCTGACTAAGCAAAGTTTTAAAACTAAAAATAGTATATTTTGTAATTCTTTTGCGATAAAATTCACTTTTAATGTACTTAAATAAAGAAAAAAAAATTTCTTTTTAAAAATAGTCTGGTATATGAATACTTTACAAAATAAATGTTCTGAATTCTTTTCTTTGGCTATCACATGGACGGAACAACTGTTAGTTCACGATTTTAGCAATAGATAAGTCCATTTAAATAATAATACTTAGTGAGTATTTATTAGTTTTTATTATTTAATTTAATGATAAACGAAAAAATTTTTAACAATAAGACATATAATTTTTTACATCGTTTTTAAGAATGCATTTTTGCATTACAAATTACAACATTTGAGCGAAATTGGTCCAATGGCTCCTGAGAAATCGAATTTTAAATATACAAATTTTTCAAAAGATGATTTCTCAGAAACCATTGGACTGATATCACTCAATTTTTGTACTTTGCCCTTTAAGATTACATTCTTTAAAATAATGTAAATAACTATATACCTTACACAAGAGTTTTTTTACTATTAAGTAAAACAATAAAAAATAATAAATACTCACTAAAATTTATTTTTTGCATGGAATTATCTGTGTCTAAGCCGATTTTATAATTGGGTCGAAGAATTTTTTTAATTTGCACAAAAATTTCTGGTCATATGGAGAAATATGCAAAAAGTAAAATTAACATTTACCAAAATTTTCCAAGGATCCAAGCTTTTATCATCATATTTCCCAGATAGCTTTTATCATCATATTTCCCCTTCATTTTGGCGGTCAGTAATTCGAATTCATCAGGAAAAGGGTGGGGTTTGTTCAGAGAAAGTACGTTTTTGTGTCTGATTTCTTAACTCAAAATATCATCTGCACAAATTAATTACCATATTTGAGGTCACCCACCCAAACCATTAAGATTGAGTCCTAGAACTTGAAAATCCGATCATTAGATCAAATATTATTCAGGGTGCTTTGTTGATTGATTTGCGCAATGCAGATTAGGTAATTTTTCTATGGATTTTTAAATTTTATGGTATTTAAAATTTTAACTTTCATGTTTGAGGCACCCAGGCTATAGCTTTTCTTCTTCTTTTTCTTTGTAAAAGAGTTTCCAAAAACACTCTTAATCTTGCAGGGCAAGAGTTTTTTATTGGTAGACAAATAATTGTCTGAAAAACTTATTTTTAAAAATTATTTTGGCAATCATTCCATGTTCAGAAAGATCTTTTGCAGTTAAGAAATAAAAAATCAGACAGACATGTATGCAGTATTGAAAATCAGCAATTATTGAAAAGATCACTAGTGACATGCCAGGAAAATGGTTTTTGAAACTTTGCATACATTTTTAATCACATGTAATTTTTAAAATCATTCATTCTAAAACATTAAAAAATGTGTAAATTTTTAAACGTGTAAAATCATTTAAAAATGTTAACAATAATGGTATTAATTCGTAGTTTAATAAAATTTATAATTTATTGTATGATATAAGAGATCTGTGGCAATCACACTAAATTGTCGCATTTGGTTATAATCATCCACAAGGAATGTTTCAAAATTTTGTAGAAAATGTAACCTTTGAAACATGTCAAACAGGGAGGTGAAAAAAATCTTCAATATCTTCATCAATATTTCCCTCCTTTTTATTTTGCTGTCCTCACTCAAAGTTTTTAACGTTATGAAATCGCCCTACCCCTAGCCCTTGTTTGGATATGACTTTGATTCTGGTATATATTTCTCAGTTATTGTAAGTCCTCGCATAGTCTTTCACTCCCACTCCCTTTTCGCTTGAGATAGTAAACATTTTTTTGGGGGAAAGTATGGAATGTATATAAGCAGTTTATAAATAATAATTTTTTATTATAATGATAACAGAATTTCTGATTAACAGAAAATTGTTAAGATCTGAACTTAGGATGTAAAGAGTTATGATTTTGTTAAAGAAAATTTCTTGAATTTTTCTTAGCTTGATTTTGACTCATTTCATGGTTTGATACTAGCATGATTTGTTTCAAATATTTTTTTTTTTCGATCCAGTGTCATACTTCCTTTAAATGTTCTGAAAAACGACCAAATTATTTCTGTTATTTCTAGAAGTAATTCTCTAATAAAAAATGCTCATGAAAAGCAAACCTTAAATGCTCTTAAAATGAAATAAAAAAATTAATAAATCCTTTGTAATTAAATAAAAATTTTAATCTGAGACATGTATTCTTTCCTGAAATTTCATATAACATACAATTGTATTTAAACAATTGAAAAAATTCGATGTAATTTGCATTAAACTTTGAAATTAATATGCAGATCTGAAATAACAAAAGATTAAAGAAAGAAAACTTGTTTTGATACGTGTGCAACGTCAAACATAGTTCATAAATCAACTTCCACAAAAGGCTAGATTTAGAGGGCTTAGATTTTTATTTAAATAGACTGTACTTTTGTATCAGCTGTAAATTAACTTAAGCTCTTTGAAGTTATTTATAACTGGAATAGTCTACTGGAGTTAAATTCTGTGGAAGGTGTAAAAGTGAGAGTAGTACTTTCAAAAATTAAAGAAGAAAAAAAGAACCCTAAACTTAAAGATTATATCTATATACATTTGCTCTAAAAAGAAAATTGCATCCCAAAAACTAATAATCTGCTCCATTAATCAAAAGACTTTCTCTAATATTGCATAAGTATCCAAAAATGCAAATGCCATCAAAATCTTTATTTTAGCTATAATATGTTATGGGCCAAAAATGGACCATATACCATTGAAATTTATAATGCCTTTACGACAGTGGATAATCTAGCTGTTGCTGCATTTAATGACTGTGCCTAATATTTGTCATATGGTATATTGAACCATTAAAAAAGCTTCATTAATTATCAATTATAAATTAAAAATATTTAATTTCTGAAAAGTGTTTAGTTAAAATAATATAATTAACTATGTCTTTAAGTATATTTTAGAAATATGAATTCATTTATGATTTGTAAAATTATTTTGTTAAAATTATTTTCTCTAGCAACTGTGCTTAAATTACTGTTTTGTTCATAATATTTTGATAAACTTTAAAGCCTGCTGCAATTGTTAAAGAATTGGAAAAAAAAATTCTAAAATTTCCTTTTTATTGTAAAATTTCTCAAATTTTCTATTAATAATTCCCTTTTTATTTTAAAATTTCTTAGTTAAAAAACAGAAAATTTTATTTGCTATTTTTTTAAATTTTTTTTTTATTTATTTACTTCTTACGAGCTAACTTTAGATTACTGAAAATTACATTTTATAAGTAAATTAGAAGAATATTGAATGCCACAAATATTGACACAATATTTAAATTATTTTTATTTTAAGTATTTAAAAAATAGCTCATTTCTTGAAGGAGAAAAAAAAAGGAAAATAAAGGCATTTAACATTTATTTTAAAAAAGAAGAAAAGTTTGGTTTTCTGTAATAACAATAATGCACTATGAAGCTATTAATTTAAATTAAATCTAAAACGAATATTCATAACACATTATGTATGAGAAGAAAGCGCGTTGTATAAATTTGATTTCGCATAAGTTCAGCAATACATTAATTATTTTTATGCATGAAATGGAATTTTATCTGTTTACATAAATTTGTTACAAATAACTTTTAAATTGATTGTTTTTCAATTGCGTAACAAAGTCTTTCTTTTTAATTATTTTAGGGTGACAGAAACATACGTTACTACGAAATAGTTAACGAACCACCCTGGTGTCATTATTTATATAAAGTTTTGACAGGCTTCCCGCTGCGGGGCCTCTGAATCATGCCCGAAAAAGGTCTGGATGTTTTGCGATGTGAAATATTTTGTTTCTACAAACTGCATGCTGTCAAACCACTCTGTGAAACGATTTATATGATTGTGCCGAGAAAAGTAAGTTGTTAATAAGTCATATTAAGTAAATTATTTATTTTTATTTATGATACAATATCCTTATAAAATTCATATAAAAGTATATAAATTTCAAAATTATAAGAAGCTTGAAAATCTAATAACTTTTATGGATAGTCTGCTTTATAACTATTGAGTTATTATTGAGAACTTAACTATCTGGAAATTAAACTTTCTTGAATATATTGAAAAACTTTCTACCTGAAAAGAATAGTTCTACAGATGTTTATACGAATTTTTGAGTAGCCAGGATGTTAATTGGGAAGGGCTGATATATTGATATGTTCCTATCTATTACTTTATATTTTATTTTTATCTCTCTAACTAGTACATAATATGATTTGGGCTAAAAATATGTAAATGAAAATAAATAGAAAAATTTATTTACAGATTTTAACGAAAGGGCATTTTATTACACTTTTCGGAAAAGAATATTCATAAATCTAAAAATAGATTTGTACTAAAAAATATGCATATGATGTCTAATTTATCGCATATTATAAAATCAATGAAATTTTGCATGTCTCTCGGCCTTATTTTCACTATGAAATGTTTGGGGGTTACTGAGACGTTATCTTAGGGTAGCTTAGGCAGAGTAACCCAGGTCAGAGGGAAGATACTGTACGAAGATAACTTTGGGGGTTTAGCACAAGGTCGATCACTTTACTAAAACAAATTTCCCCAACTACTTAGCAAGGAAAACAGTGAAAAGAAACAAAGGTTACCCACAGGATAGCCAGATCTAAAACAGATGGAGATTCTTAGTATTCGATTAATGTCAGGTGAAGAAAATGAAGGATTGATGTACAACAGGCTGTAGTGCTTAGACGTTAGAAGTGCTGAAATACCTTTAGTAAAATATCACATTAATTACTAAGGATGCTTTTGTTTCTTAAAAGAAAACATTTAATAATTTTAAAAACTGGTATCGAAAAAACTTTCCTCCTCTGAATTTGAATTTCCTTCCTCGAAATTTCCTTTCAAACCTCGTTAACACGACATTTGCGGGACTATCATAATTATTTATGTTAACCAGATTTCATCTTATTAGATATATTATGAACACAATTTATTACGTACTGTTAATACATATCATATACTATGCTTGTGTACCAAGCAAATTAAAGTAAGCTTAAAAATTTTAATAACTTTATTTAACTATTTTATTTATTTACCCATCTGCTACTCCTAACAAACGTGGATAATAGAAATAGCATTCCTCAAAATGAATAAGTGGCACATTATGAACATGCTTCTTATCTGTGTTGTGACCTTTCATGTAAAGCGATAATCAGCAAGAAATTTTCATGTTAAATATTATGTAAAACACAATAATAATTTATTGCTGACTCCCGGGACCAAACATATATTTCATGAAAAGCGATGTTTCACCCTTAGTGATTTGCATTAATGAGGTTTGACAGTACTTCCTTTTTTTTTTCATATGAAAAAAAATATTTTTACCTTTTTCGTTCATGTGGGAAATGATAAACACAAAAGAATAAAAGATATTGTCATCAACATATTTATAACTAACTTCGTAACTACCCTTGGAAATTCTCTTAAGTTCTACTTTAGAACAGAGAATTCCTTTTTTGATTTTAGTTACTGTTTTACCTTTTGCCTGGCAATGTATTCATGTCATGATGTCTTATAGTAATTGTCGCTTGTCTTGATGGTATTTCTTGATTTTATTCATTAAGTATGAAAACTGGTTTTGTAACTGGTTTTATATATTTACTTATAAATTATATACAAAACTTATTTTTAATAAGTCTGATCAATTTCAAGAAGATTTGTTCCTGACACTGCTGCACCTACTCCATCACTTACAGCTAAAGAATGGCTGAATGGAAAAAAACAGAAATCCTATTCTGATATCCATGTATGTAGGTATTGTAATAGTCATTGTATGTTTCGTAATAACTCTAGGTAAAAAAAAAAAAAAATTAAACTGCATAGCTGCCAGCTTTTATGAAAACATTGGAAGATTCCTAACCTTTGGGGAAATCTTTTATGCTCATAGAAAATGTTCAAGTATTACAAACTTTTGAATTATTTTTTTTAACAATATCAAAAAATGTTTGAATTTTTTTTAATTTTAAATATTACTTCAAATTCTATGTAACATTTTCATTCAGTTGAGTTTTAGTAAATGTTTTAAATGTGATTTTTATTTTATCAAGCATTCAGATATATTTTTGAAGCAACAGATTTAAAATACCTCTTTATTAGACTGAGCAAATTTTTTGTTTCTTCTATCAAGGAGAAAATTGTCTGCATGTATGTAGTGTATATAAAATCTTAAAGCTGTTAGAATTTTAATGTTGTCTGAATTTTAAACTCATTTTTGGTTTACTTTGAAATAACAAGGAAAAGCTCCTAGTTACTCCAAAATGTTTCCTTTTATTTCATTTATTGTGCCCTATGAAAAATATTTTTTTTCTTTCAATTTTGTAAAAAAAGTGATAAAACCTGCAGAAATAAACTCCTTAAATTATACTTATATATAGGTATTTTGTGTGAAAAAGTATAAATTGACTTTTCAAAACACGAGAAACATTTTTAAACAAATCTATATATCATAATCTCTATATATCTTCAATATCATTGAAGATATTTAGAGATATCACTATTGGCAAAAAAAAATATCTAAATTCATAATTGTAAATGTTTTGTAATTTCAAAAATGCATTTTCGAAATGTTTCAAAGTACTCAGTCCCTTTTTCAATGATAATATAATTAAAAAAAGAAAACTAATGAACTTTTCTGGAATACAATTAATTAACTTTAAAAAAAACACATCCATGTAAATAGCATGTTGATTTCTCTCTTTTTATTAATTATGGATTAAAAGCATGTGTAAAGAAATATTCTTGCTGCATTTTGTATTATTTTAAGTGTGAAAATTTATACATTATTTAAAAAGTTACTATTTTTTACTATTTTTTAAAAAAAAAATATTTTTATCAAAAATATTTATTAATGAAAAAATTGATTAAACATAATAAAATATGTTCTAAAAAAGAAATAAATTTTTAAATTAATGAAAATTATAAAAAAAAGTTATGTATATAAGAAACTCATTCAGTTTTGTTTTATCCATTCCAATGTTGACACAGTTAAAATAATAAGTTAATTGTGTGATTGTTTGAATTGCCTTCAAACCAGTTGTCCTAGAGTTTCTGATACTAAGTGAGCTTTAATGGTACCAAACCTTCCAATTTTACTTTCTAGCCGATAATCTCCATTTCATTCCTGTTAGCAAATTAAGTTAAAAATTATGTGTGTTGCATATAATATGAATCAGACTGTTTCGTTTTTATTATACTTTTATTAAATAAAAATTAATAAAATAAATAAACTATATACATGAAGAAAATTATTGGCGCTGCTGCAATCACAGTAAACAATGAAAAGTAGTTCATGAGAGAACTTCCAAAGTTGAACATGAAATATGTTTAATTCTCTGACAGTGGTGCAAAGTGGGGTGGGGGCTGTGATAAGGGTAAAACACTTAAGCCTGTTTTTTTGATATCTAACATATTAAGGGAAAAGTCCCAAAATTCTTTATTAGCTGTCTATTTTTTCTGTAGAACTATCTATTTCAGTCAGTCTTTGATCTGCAACGCTGCATATAGACAACTCTGTGCTATTGATGTCTCTGTTATGCTTATTTTCTTTCTTCAATAAAGTTGTTAAGTTTAATTTTTAAGTTAATCATTGTCTCTTTTTTTCATTCTTAGTTTTCATTTCAATAATTCTAACCATAGCATGTAAATGAAGAACTTAGAAATAATTTTGTTTTGTTTTTAAATTGAATTGTGTTTTATGTTTTGAAATATTATAGACTGGGGCTGGAGCCAGAACCAATTAACCAGTGGTTTATTACCTGGATTGTCAGTACTGAA